TTAATGCTCATGCACATCAATACAAACCAAAATAATATTTTATTATACATAATTTGACAATAGCAAGCAAGGAACATGTATAAATCACAAAAGGTGTCCCACCTTCATATGTATTGACAGCTTCTAAGTTCATCGCATGCCTGATCACGTGATACTCGTCACAAATGCCATTTCCACCTAGCATATCACGTGCAGCACGTGCAATGTCCAAGGACTTGCCGCACGAGTTGCGTTTGATAAGTGAGATCATCTCAGGTGCTGCCCTGTAATACAACAAAATCAATTTTTGACTCTAGTTATTATTTCTTGACTAGATACCGATTAAATATGCATGAACTTACTTCAGTAAGTATGATGATTAATTCTAAGTCTTAATTCCTTCATTTTATAGTTGACATTCTTTATTGTAAACACATTTCATACTATTATCATTGTTGAAATTTGACACTTAGTTTTGTTCTGATGGAAAGACCACAAATGACCATTAACGAAATTATGTCATCTACTTACTTTCCATCATCTTTTACCCTGCCTACTTGGACGCAGGACTGCAGGCCTAGGGAAATCTCTGTAATCATGTCTGCAAGTTTCTTCTGAATGAGCTGGTTCTTGGCAAGTGGTTTTCCAAACTGTTTCCTAAAATGACAGATTTTATTTACCTTTTGTACTTATCTGTTACAAAAACAGGCTTCATGAAAAATATAAGAAACTAAGGTGCTTTGGGTTAGTATGAATATATATATTTATTGTGACAGTCAAATATCAAGTACATGTACCACTTTGGGTTCTTTATAAAGATTACAGAAACCATGGACGCTGTCATCAACAGATGGCTGTCATTGAGAAATGACATCAAATGAACCTTACTGTAGTGCAAGTTTTCTACTGCAACTACATAGAAAAGCTGTGAGCATTGACAACTAACTAAAATTACAAGTCCAAAGGATCTGACGGCCCAGAAAAAAATCCTTCTTGATCTTAGCTTATCTTCATTTTATTCTAAAAAATATAGATACAATGGGAAAATCTGACTATACATACCTTGCACTGGGTTCAGTTTGCTTAGATTTTTTAACTTTTGAAAACTTAATTTATCAAATAATGCATGAACAAGCCGTCAACTCTTTACAACCCCTTTCACACATCTGTGTACTTTCTAAAAACTATTTCTGTGAGCCTAGCACACCAGCATGAATTTCAGCCTTGCAAATGTGTATCTGCATGTGATGTATGTTTGAGTGTACATGTGTAACGTAATGTATGCTCAGATGGAATTAGATTTAACTACAACAAAAGTCTAAGTCACTAAAAATCATTTATAATAATCTTTCCACTCTCCAACATTCTCTCGTGATGTCCACTGTCACAATTGTGCCTGGTGTGCATTTTACCACAACAACAGCAATGAATACAGTGCATGTCACACCTACCTGTCCAGTACATATTGTCTAGCTGTGTGGTAACAGAACTCTGCAGCACCAAGTGTTCCCCAGGCTATGCCGTAACGGGCACTGTTCAAACATCCAAATGGACCCTGGTGAGGATAATAAAAGAAAAGTAGATTTATATCTACATCTTATTTTTTTTTATCTCTAAATCAACATAAAGTGTATCCAAATGGTACAGGGATTTTTTTTTATTAAAAAAATTTGCACAGATATATATTTATTTGCACAATGAACAGTTTCCGACTTAACATTTCACAGAATAGCACATTAATTATTCCTATCACATATGGTTTCCTTGATTCAACAAGTTCCATTTTAAAACACTCACAGCAAGACCAGAAACATTTGGCAGCATGTTTTCTTCAGGAACTTCGACATCTTCCATCACAATGTGTCCAGTGGTTGAGGCACGCAGAGAAAATTTTCCCTCAATTTTGGGTGCTGATAATCCCTTCATCCCCTTTTCAAGTATGAAACCTTTTACTCTGTTGTTTTCTGAATCTGTTTTTGCCCACACAACAAATACATCTGCTATAGGAGAGTTGGTGATCCTAATATAGATCAATATGCATATTAATAGAAATAGAAACAAAATGAAGCCAGAATTTCCCATGATGCTTCTTTCATTTAATGCCTTGATAAACTTAAATGATTTATTGCTCTAGTTGGTTACTAGTATACATTTCTAGGTTGAAATAATCCTGGATCTGGTAAGGCAATTATGATTTCCATATTACACATTATAAACACAATCTCTTCACATGCACTTACCATGATTTAGAACCATTTAAAGTAAAAGTTTTGCTGGCAGGATTGTATGTTGCCTTGGTTTCCATTCCACCTGGATCACTGCCGTGGTTGGGTTCTGTCAGCCCAAAGCATCCTATCAGCTCTCCCTTGGCTAGTACAATAATCAAATACAGATGACTGTGTCAGTAAAAAAAGTCACTATAAAATGTCATGGAATTTTTATTGTTTTAATTTCATTTATGACATATACTTCATCAAAAGCTATGTTCTGTGCCCAGCAAGTAATCTCCAACTCAACTTTCTGAGGGTTTTCTGCCCTGCTGAGGCTTTTTAATAAATTACCTCTACCCTCAATTGCAGAGTAGGTGTATTTGACTATTCTTTCTTCAAATTTAATTCTTGGTTGGATAAAAATTAAATACACACTGATATACTGAATATCCAAAAATGTATCTTATCTCCACTATCTCACCTAGCCTTGGAAGATATTTCTCCTTTTGGGCTTCTGACCCATAACTATATATTGGATGCATTACAAGGGAAGACTGGACACTCATTGCTGAGCGATAGCCACTGTCCACTCTGCAATTAAATAGAAATGAAATTCTTGATAATAAGATGTATTACCCAAAATAACATCATATTTAATTCTTTTAAACCTTCTACAACCCATGTCTACAGGCTGGTCATATACATATAACTTCATAATTATGTCATGCTGCATATCAATACATGACCTAACATGGCCCAGAAATCAATCAATCAATCTCATCTGTATCATATACCAAACAGTAACAATACAATAGAATGTCTAAGCCAGCTAATCATATAAACTTAATTAACATAAAGAACCCTTATTGTGTACAAAATGTTTCTTGATAAATAGTTACTTATTTCATGGGATAGTTCACTGAATATTTGTATCAAAAATATTCTCTGATTAAAAAAGGCTCATCCTAAAAGAAAAGATAGTATTCCACTCACCTTTCCAATTCTCTAGCAATGAGGCCATAAGCCACAGATGTTGTACCAGCACAGCCATACCCCTGAATTGTAGGGCCAAGAACTCCTAGCTCTCCCATTTCTGGAATGATTTCCCTGTGGAAAACTGAAAATTAAATGAAAATAAGATAAAACATCAAGAAGACCAGTATCTATATGTTTGGCATGAGTGTAGTTTTTAAATTAACTGCATTTAGACAACCTGACATTGACAGAAACCAATTAAGTTTCCAACTATGTAATGATAGTGCTGAAAAATAATTGTACCCCAAGTATGAACACTGCTTCAAAAGATCCCTTTATGTAATAACTGTTATTAATGGTATTAAACTCTGTAACAATTTTTTTTCTTTTATGTGAGCAATCCTGTGACTATTAGCAGGTAAGTAAAGCTTTATTTCATACAGTATTATATCATGTCTGCTTTTTGTGAGTTTATATGTATATGTTTATTTGCACTCGAGTGTTTTTGCAGATCTGCTATAATGATTTACTTACTTTCATGTCTGTTTGCTTCCACTATCCTTGGCATAAGACGGTCTGTGCAATAACTGCGGAATTGGTCTCTGAGAAGTATTTCTTCTTCTGTCAGCAGGCTTTCCAGGTTCAGGGCATCATGATAATCAAACTTGGCTTAAAAAGAGAAGAATCATTAGTATATTATTGCATTTGTACATGAACTTTTAACAACCAAGTAAATATTAATTATAACATTATTAATTATAGTGATAAAACAAACATTCAAGCTCAAGTAAACTTTTACCATCTTAAGGCCAATTATCAAGATAACAATTAATACATTCACCCACAATATGTTTAAACTGCTGATTATCTAAACCATTAAACAGTCAATATTATGATCCCTGAATGTGCCAAATGACATAAAAATGTCTCTGGACATTACTTACCAGTTGGTTCTGATTTTTTTACTTCCTGTTCTTTCTTTTCTGGTAAGTGTTAAGGATGACTTACATACACAATATGTGAAATGTGACTGTGAAAAGACAACTAAGGCACAAACACAATAGATCAATTTAATTTAGGAATTATTATTTTCATAATTTTTTTCATTATAATAAAATATATTAAAAAATATTTAACAGCAACTGTTTTGTTTCCCTGCAAAGACTTATACTTTTTTTAGTCTAGTAGGTTATTATGTTTTCAGTGCATACACTTCTGTAAGGAGGTGTGCCAAAATCCTGCAATCTGATTGGACAGAAGCCAATTAGGCAATTTGGTGTTACATAAATTTGATATTCAACTGAAACACACAGAATCTTAAAAGAAATACATTAATACTGACGATATACATAACATGACAACTCTTCTTATTACCTGGCTATAGAGACTAAAGTCCATAAGTCGAAAAAAGCATGGTCTACATTGCAGTAAAGCACAAATCAGATAACAAGTTATAATGCTTTCTACTAACCCACTTGGGAAAAACATAAAGTTTTAGCTAGAAAGGATACGAGCTGCAGCAGTACCCAGTGTGCGTGTAATGCTACTGAAATAACTTGTCCTGCGGCCCAGAAGCCTGAAAACTGGCTTTCCGAGAGACATATTTACCCTTCGTGTGCCTGTGGGAGATGTTGTGATGACGTCACTAGACGTTCCGAGGTAGACAGCTCTGGTTGTTTTATAACATTTGATCTTTTACATTTGCGCCAACAGAACATATTTTTATTAAAGATTTCATTGAAAATTATCTTTATTTGATTCCATGCGTTTAAATGGATACCAATCGATGAAAAAGTAATTGAATGTTTACGGAAGTTTGCTTTACTGCGAAGCTACTGCGAAATGGAGGACACCACACGTGAAATCCTCGAGAGGGTTGAAAAACTAGGAAAAATTGACACCCTAGAGTTAGCTGCAGAATTAAATGTAGATCACCAAAAGATAGTTGGAGCAGTGAAGAGTATACAGTCGGCTGGAGATGTAATTTGGGTTTTATTTTAATACATAACATACTAGTTTAATAGTGACGGAAGCCTGATGCAACCACACGATATTATCAGTTGCATTCTAATGACATATGTTGCCGTATCTTTTTTGTTCAGCTTTTCCAAGATTACAATGTGCCATAGTTTCTAAGATCTTGAGTTTGGAAATATGAGGCTAATGCTTTATTTTTTGTCTTGGTCTATGTAGAAAGCACCTAGAAATTCTCTATAGAAATAAACCAAAACGATCAATCGATCTCTACCCACGTTGTAAGTACAGTGATGCGTTAAATGCAACTTGCAAGTGATTACTTTATTGACAGTGACAAATGAAAATTGTATGTTCCCACAGCAATTTGAAATTTAAAGCTTAACATCCATGCCCTTTTTCAGGTCATCTGTTGATGCCCCTGCATTGTTACTCGCTCACGTCGCCCCCCTCCCTCACAGTAATACTTACCCCCCCCTCCCCCCGTTAAAATTATGATGTTACTCACATCAGTAGGCAGCTTTCATTGACACTCCCTTCCATCATTCAGCATCATCACATTGTAACTTACCTGCATGGTTATAGGAGGGCAAGGGAGTAACAATGGATTGGATAGGAAAAACAAATACCAGGGAATGACTCTTACAAAAAAAAATGAATATATTTCAGATAATAAACTGTGAGCAGTGTACCAGCAAGAAATGGGAGTTAACTGAAGAGGGCAAGGCAGTTGTAGAAAATGGCAGTCATGAAGCTCTGGTTTTCAATGCTGTTCCAGTAGAGGGCATTGCGCAGGCTGACTTAATGGTAAAGTGGAAATGGTTTTACTTTTAATTATTTAACATTTTGAGGATTTTTTTATCTCTGTTTGTTTTTGGAGTGTATATGGTCAGTGCAATATCTGAACATGCATTTTTTTGTATCCTATAGCAATCCGTGCCAAATGCTAAGATTGGCTTCAGCAAGGCAATGTCAGGTGGTTGGATCATGATTGACAAAAAAGCTGAAGGGGGACCAAGAGTCTTTAGAAAGGTAAACAATATGCTGTGATTTAAACAATGTCTGAACATACTGTTTTTATGGGACTTCACTTTTATTAAGGTTAATTGGCCCGTGAATATTTACTGTGAACATCAGAGTTGAATAATTATATTCTGTGTGTATTCTCAAATGAAACTGAACTAGAGAACACACAGCATGATGGTATGTGACTCGTGAGTAATTAGAAATTATGATTTAAATATATTTGTAGGGTGTATTCGTAGTAGTTTTTAAATTTTTTATAAACTAAAATCTTTGTTAGTAGTTTAGTAAAAATAGTTGTACAATCATCTTTTGACACAAGACCAGTCCAGCTTGCTTTTTCCTTTTTTTTTTGTTTTTTATATGTGCTCATTAAAATGTATCTCTCATATGTCAGGTTGAGAGTATAGAAGATCTTGTTCAACAAAGTCTGATAAAGTTACAAAACTTACAATTGGATGGCATCACAGACCAGCAAAAAACAGACTACAAGAAGAGAAAATTGATACAAGAAGTGTGAGTATGGCAGAAAAAAAATTTTTACAGCATCACTACAGAAACAATATATTTTATTTGTGACGAAATGTTTTTAAAAGGCAGAGTAGAGGCAAAATATCAGTTTAAAAGATGGAGTAAGAATGGTGTTTTACAGGTTAATGGTATTTTCAGTGGTATTTATCATTTTACTTCTTGTCTGCATACAATTTAATCTGTTTATATTTATTGCTTGGTTTTCAGGAAAATCAATTCATTCATTGTAACCAAAGGTAGAAACTTCAGTCTCACAATATCAAAACAAGAAACAGACTTGACTCCAGAGATGTTGTCTAGGTAGATGTATGCTTTTTCTACCATACTTACCATACTAGCATTCTTAAATGAAAAGTTATGATTGCATAAAATTATGTTAGTGATGAAGTTTGATCCTTTCTCAAACAATGAAGATGATTGAATTTAATGTCATAATATTTTGTTTTAAGCAACAGTGACTGTAACTTTTAATTATTTGATAAGTTACACATAAAAGGAGCCATAAACTGTATTTGTCAGAAAAGACCAAGGAAGATGAATAGAGGTAAAATTCTCTTGTTTATTCTGATTAGATGCTTATGAAATTTATTTAATTCTCAGTGGTTCTTGGAAGGAGCATACTTTCAAACCATACAACTTTGAAGCCCTTGGTGTTCTACCAGACAGTGGACACCTGCATCCTCTCCTGAAGATTAGAGCAGAATACAGACAGATATTCCTAGAAATGGGGTAAGAGTGGAACTCAGCATCTGTATGGTGATATCAGTGCATGTGATATGTATGCCATCAGTGTATTAATGACACATAAGCAAATTATTAGTGCAAAATACTCTCAAGATGTATATATATACGTATATGTATATGTATGCATGCATTTTTTTTTTCTTGAATCTGTTTGATCAACCTTTTTTTAACAATGTTTTCCTTGTGTTTTCCAGTTTCTCAGAAATGCCAACCAATAACTTCATTGAAAGCAGTTTCTGGAATTTTGATGCCCTGTTCCAGCCACAGCAGCATCCAGCAAGAGACGCACATGATACCTTCTTCATATCAGGTAAGATTACCATTAAAAAGTAAGTGTTCAGAGCACCAGTCAGTCACAATAAGTTTCAACATGCAGAAAAATCAATTATTAAGTCGACGTGTGATTTGCACTAGCATGATGGAATTTTTTGTTGTTTGTTTATGAATATGCTTTGGTGAAGTTAATTATCCAGATTTATTTTTATGTATTTTCATTGAAAATGATTGGTAGGTGAACCTGTCTAATATGATATAATCACTTGTGTGTTTTTTTAGATCCAATGTATGCGGATGAGACCAAACTTCCAGCAGATTATGTAGCCAAAGTAAAGAAGGTTCATTCAGAAGGAGGATATGGCTCACAAGGGTGAGTTCCAATTTCTGATTCTCTTATCAGTATGAACTGAGAAATTGAATTCTTGATGTTTAATTTTTTAAAATTAGATAGGGTGACCTAGAGAAAGTGTAAAACTTAATGTTTTGCCTGTTGGATGTTGACTGATCATCAGTTGAACAGGTCTAAAACTTTCTCACATGCTCTTCAGGGGAACTACAAAATGGGGATAAGTGAGTGAGCATTTGTGATTGGTCCAGCAAACTTCAATCATTCATCAGTGGGGTATTTGGTAGGACCTTTCTTGAAAGATATAAGGCATTAGGAATATTATAGATCTGATATATTTGAATTAAATGCCAGGGCTTTAAAAGCATTTCACAAAGTTTCCAGTGATTTCTAGTTACAGTATGTTTTTATGATAGCTTAACCAGTCAGTAGGATCAAAGCTTTCAGTCACCATATCTCATGTATATATATTCTTTTTTTCTAATTTTTTATCTACACAGCTACCGTTATGACTGGAAATTAGAAGAAGGAAAGAAAAATATTCTAAGAACTCACACAACTGCGGTTAGTGCAAGAATGCTGTACAAGCTGGCTCAGCAAGTAAGATATATAGATATTCTGTTTCTAAAGCATGACAATTATGACAAAGAAATCGGATTGATTGCCCATTTTTAAGGGTATCATAATGTAAAGTTATACTGTTGAGACCCCATTTCATTGCTAAAAATCATCATGTTTAATCACTTTAGATTATTTTTATATTCCATTCTTTAGAATAGTTTGTGTTTAAGTCTGTAGCTGGTAATGGAAGATAAAATGCTCGTTTTTATTCCCTGGGAATTCTTTTATTTCAATTCCTTAATTAATCTAAACTGGTTACTAGTTCGTTACTTAAGCATGGATTAATTTTGGCTCACTGAAAGATTAGACTTTTTCTTAGCACAGGAGAAGGGAAACTGAAGAAAGGTTAAAAATATGAACCAAAAACAAATGGTGCAGTGGCAAAAAGATGTAACCTTTTTTATGTTGAAGTAATAAAAGACATTAAAATATATTGAGTGCAGATGAGAGATTTACAAGATTGTCTTTTGTGGTCTTCTTTTCACAAAAAAATAGGTATTCTTCCTTTTATATAAAATGCCATTCATATTTGTTTTTAGAAATAACACATCTTATTTCCTACATCTGAATGGCATGACATCATATAAAATATACTCTGCCAGTCTGTGAACCAACTATTTTTACAACCTTGGCCTTACCTTTGCTGTATGGTTAACCACTTCCAGTTGTTTAATTCATGACTCATTACAGACTGGTTTGTCAGTATGGAAGGGCAAAGGTGGCAGTGAAGGGATTTTTAGCATAGTTCATATTGATATTGAATGAAGAGAGTAAATAGCACAAAACTGTATGCCAAAATAAACATGAAAAAATGGGGTTCTACCAAACTGGTTGTAGCTCTATCTAAATTGGTTACAGCTCATGTTACGGAGCTTTATTCAAGATGACTATATAAGCCAGACTCAACTTTTTGGGTTAGATTAGTAGTGTATTCTAGCTATGTTTTCTGTGTCAGGTTATAATGTTGTCTTTTTACTAATCCCAATCTTGAAAAATGTTGGATACTTAGAATTGAGCAGTTATGGTATCCAGCGTGTTAAATCTTTGTTAAGTCAGACATCATAGGTAATAGCATATTGTTGTCCTCTATAGCAGATGGCTAATAAAGTCGGCTTGTAATTTAAGGCTGCTATTAAAAATTGCTGTAATTCCTCTGGAGAAATGGTTTCAATTGGGACATCTATGAGCTCGAATCTTTTGATCATTCCTGAATGACGTTCTGCCACCAGCAGCTCCCCAGCAGAGTTGGTAGCAAGGGCTTGTGGGAAGTGTAGTCCATCTGTTTCCTTGGCAACATAATTCACAAATTTGCCATCTGGATCAAGCATGATTATTCTATGGTTCCAGCAATCAGCTATATAGATAAAACCATCTTCATCACAGCAAACGCCTTGGGGGATGTTCATTGGGTCGCGGTTGTTGTTTTGGCAGTCGCCATACTGTGCTAAGATATCACCTGAAGAGTTCACAATGTGTACGGAGGCAGCCGCCCAGTCAGACACCACAATGGTGTCATTGGTCTTGTTCACTGCTATGTACTGTGGACATTCCCACTCACTGATTTGTAGCATGTTGACTAGTTCCTCCGACTCTGTATCAAACGAGTACACAGTTTTTTGCTTGCTGTCACATACCAACACATGCCCTTCCTTGTCCTGTGCTATGCCAAATGGACATTCCAGTTGATTCAAAAACAGATTGTTGTTCTCTCCATTGCTCCGGTTTTCTTCCCTGTCTAAATTGCTATAGAACTTTACACATTTTTCTCCCTCAGACGTGACATATATAACTCCGCGCTCAGACACAGTGATATCCTGAGGTCCATCAAAACGCCAGTCAAATTTAAACTCCCCTTCATATGAGAAGACCTTCACTCTGTTGTTTTCCCCTTCGTACCCATTCCTGTCTATGATGTAGATATTCACACCATCTGTGCTCAGGCCAGTAATGAAGCAATCTTCCTCATCCTGATCATCCCCAAGTAGAGAATTAAAGGAGTGAACACACTGGGCTCTCTTCATCCTAATTCCCAGCTACTACTACTAGTACCACTACTCCAGCACTACAGGAGCATATTACACGGATACAGACAGTCACGGCCTGGCATTCAACCAGTTCTAGCACATCAACCCAGCTCACGTCTTCCTGTGCTCAGTGTGGTGAGGAGGGCCTCAGGCATGACCGATTTAATGAGTGGTTTCATAGATATGTGGCGTTGATATGTTGAGACAAGTTAGTTTTGTGAAAGGTCAGCCCGGGACATGTTTGTATTGCATGTCAAAATGAATCTGTACCTTCACTGGATGTGTGTGTATGTTTGTGTGTGTGTTCATTTAAATTTATATTGTTTCCACAGTGTTCATGTTCATTAAATTTTACATCATCCCTACTCTGCTTAGACTGATTAAGCATTCCATGATGGAGAAGGTGAGAGGTTGCCCCACTTTGACAAAGGGCTAATGTATTTCTAATTCACTCAGTGTAGTTGTTCCTTGCATGTCATGGTAATATATTTCCCATTTGTTTTAACATATGTAGCGCTATACAAGAGATTATTTGTGGAGAATTGCTGTTAAACTTTAATTGACTTCATGCCTTTCCCCAGGGTAACCTAGCTTTACCTTTGTTAACAAAATAATTCCATACTTTTCGTGTGTGTTTATCTCACTTTTTCAAAGGAAATGAAATGCATCCCTTTGAATGTACAAAAGTTCAGTTTTCATTTTCCTTCATTAATTTCTTTTTGATCTCTTTATCATTACTTTCCATTGTTTAAACATTCTAAAATGCCACATAATTATATTATCAGATGAATTCAAATTTAAAATTAACAAATGATTTAGTTAAACACAGAATTGCCCAAGATGGTACATTAAATAAAGATATTTACTGAGAATATCTTCTTTCAACATGTGATAGGGGTTCTAAACAAATCCTTTCTTTTCTCTCATGAAACACTATATATCTAAGAATATTGTTCCATATGTTTTACATCAAGGGTGTTACCAGTGATATGTTCACCTCGTTGATGAAATATATCCTACAGGTAAATCAAGACTCGTGTTCTTTACACACCCAGTTCAAGGACATGATGATTTATACAGGTGTCAGAGCCATTGTCAGTCTGAAGCCAGGAACATATCTATTTCCTACTGCTTTGCAGAAGCAGTATACCCAGTTTTTGTAGGTAAAATCAGAAGACTGGGTGTATTTTCTTATGTGAAAGACTCCTGGTTGTGATGACTGAAATATGTGGAGGGAAGTTCTAAGAAGTTTGGGTTATCTGCCCCATCTGTCTTGACCATTCTAGTAAAATTGACGCCTGGTCATCACATTGAGAGAGGATGGTGCACAGAATTTGTGAACTTTGATTGAAGTATCCCTAGGTTATGCTTGGTATGCTTTAATATGTTACAGTAGTATGCACTCTTAACCTACCTGACAGGATATGGTGTTGACAGATACCCACACACCTGACCTGTACTATTACAGACAGCTTAAATCCAGGTAGCACATTGTATCCACTTTGTTTTTCATGTGCTTGTGGAAAGATTCTGGAGCATATTTGTTTGTTTATTTCAAATAAAAAACTTAATATCTGCTTGCATGCTGTCTATTTATTAAATTTCTAAAAACAAGCACCTTTTTCAAATACCAATACAAAAGGAATATCTTGATGTCAGAATTAAATCATCACCATACTGTTTGAAGTAAGTTTTAGATAATAGATGTTTCAATGTGGTACGGTAATTAAATTATAATAGCCTTTTTCTTCTTTCAAGTCAACAAAATTGCTAAAACTGCTCCCAGTTTTTCAGTCACTGTCACCTGTGTATTCTTGTCTACAGAAAGTTTGGTAATTTGTGCCTGGAGTAAATATAATAGAAAAGTCACATATGCCATTTCGGTATCAACCTTTTATTCTGTATCTCTGATATCCCTGTAGATCAGGGTCATCCATCAGCCACATCCCGACACCCAACTCCAGGTTAATGTCAAACTTGGTCACTCTGTACCCAGGGATCTCAGCTGGGGTGGTGCGGGTGATGAGCAGGGGGTTGTCGGAGGCGCACACCTTACAAGAATCTTTGGGACTCAGGTACCTGTCTCCAGAGAAGTACATCTGGGTGACGAGAGTGGTGTGCCCCTGGTGGCTCACCTTGAAGTGGATGTGAGCAGGACGTCTGCCATAGTTTCCAGGCTGGATGGTGAAGAACTTGAAGTAGCCCTGTTGGTTGGTATAGGTATATCCCCGGCAGCCATCCCAGTGATAGGATCCCTTACTATCCGCCTGCCAAACCTCAACTAGGGCCCCTGGGACTGGGGTTGCGCAGTCACTTGACCGAACATAGCCATCTACCATGTGTTTTCGGAATTTTAAAAAAAATAAAAATAATTTCAATTAAAAAAATAATGCTTTTGCAGTTGGATCCAAAATTAGGATGTGTATGGTAGCATCCATGTTGTAACATTATCAGAGTTCGATAATAACTCCATCTTTTCAATTGCAAATAATTATCAATTTTTCAAAAAATTTAGAATAATAAAATGTGTGTTTTTATATAGCATTTTGATCAATGATGCTGTAACTGCGTAGAATGGAAATGTATGGTAGCCTGCTTTTCAATTTTGTTGCTGCCACTAATAGATAGAAATCTTCTAATTTAAAGAATTTATGACTTAATTTATGACTTACAAAGTAAAGAATCATTAAAATATACAATTTTCCTAATTGGTAAGATTGTATCATTGCTGTATGCCATTCTTAGAATAACATTTTTGAAGACAACAACATGATTATATTCACCCTGCTCTTGCTGATGTGCCTTCTCACATCAGTAACTTTTGAAATTATTTGGCATATAGAGTTGTGCCAGGATATAGCCATTAAAGCATCAATTACTGTTTTATTTTTTATCATTAGTAAAAAAATATACTACTTTTTACCAATTTTATCCATGAAATAATTATAGTAAGTAAAGTCATGGGCTTCTACCACGTTTGAATTGTTATAAAATACTATTCTTACATAATATATAGTTGAAAGGGTTAGGTAAATATTGGAAAATTAACTAAATTTGCTAACACCAAATACTTAAAGGTCCAGTATTTCAGTTTACAACATAATACCCAAACATCATAATGTGGGGATTGTAAGCAATAAGAGCCTTTACAGAGTAAGCAGCATGTGATAACTAACAGATGGTCTGTAAGCAGAAGCAAAATGTCACTGTTTTGCTGCCCATAACAGAGGCATTTTACTTTTTCTATACAACATGTTTTTCTTAAACAACAACAGATTATCAATTTGTAATGTACATTTTTTTTATTCCATACACTTTGAAAAAAATATGAAAAAAAGCTCCACCTTCATAATAAGTAGAACAACAGGTTGTAAGTTAATCTTCAGCAGATTCAGTATTATTTTCCATTATCTCTTCCTTGTCCTGAGTCAGAATACATTCTAACTTTAATTCATATATTAAACTCCCCTTTTTCTTCATCCTCAGTATCCTCTAACATAAGCATTCCTTTCCCTTTCCTAAGGATGATATTGAAGGCTATTGCTTTGTGTCTTGATTTTTCTATGCTGCATTCTCGTTTGATCAGTAGTGGATTGTCTGAAGCACAAACAGAACAAGAGTCTCCCTGGCCCAGGTAGGCATCTCCAGCAAAATACATCTGGGTTATGATAGATATGTGTCCGGGGTGGGTCACCTTGAAGTGGATATGGGCTGGACGATGGCCGTAGTTGCCTGGATGGATGGTCCAGAATTGGAAGTAGCCCTCCTGGTTGGTATATATGAAACCCCTGCACCAAAACTTGTGGTAATTTCCCGTATGGTCAGCCTGCCATATTTCCAACTGAGCTGCTGCTAGGGGAGTCGCACAGTCTTCCGATTTGACCTGACCCATCACCCAAAGCTTGTGAAGGCTGGCAAAGGCTGGGTCTTTTTCACATAGATTTTCATCTTTTTCAAGTTGGCGCTGGTGCTTGAGTACCATGTAGTAAGGTCCAATGACATCAGGAGGGGTCAGTTCGCAGCTGCCTCCCGTAGTCTGCGCCTTTACAGTCAGTAGAAAATAGCTCAAAACCCACAAAAGTTTCATGTTGTGAAATTTTGCTCTGAAGCTTCTGTTTGTGTTCCTGTAGTTTCTAGGATGCATAAAATGAAAAAATGCCATGCGCTCGTTTTTTATGAGGTTTTATCTCAGGATCAGCATGCCACCAGAATGTCCAATTGTCAATATATTCTACCATCTGTCTTTTAAATTGTTCTCATCAATCTCAGCTAACAATGGCTTAAGAGGTGCAGAATTAATTTGTATTTGCTAGGAGGAACTTATGTGATCATTGAATTTGATGGCTTACATTTCTCCTTGGACAAAGAAAGGATTATTGGTTCTCCTTGAACGGCACTTCAAATTCCAATAAGCTCAGATTTGTGTTTGAAAGTATTTGCTTGCCTCTTCTTTGATTTGATTGCACTTATGATGAAATTGAGATATTCTCTTTCATGCCTGTGATGGCAAAAAGCTGGTGCTTTTGAGGTCATACTTAAGAAGTTCAGGCTGAGTTGATGGAGAAATGCATGAATATGGGCATATGCAGTACTACAGTTTCACGTTTTTCTCTCATACATATCACAGCAAAGCCCGCATAGGCTGCTAGCACAAGAAAGGAAAAAATACACTGAATATAAACAGTGGATGGATTTCTACACAAGTGAAGGTCTAGTAAATAAGCAGAATCCTTAGCATAGGATTTGCATATAACTATTTCATTATATATTTTAAAATTTTGCTTTTTTTCCAGGAGAAGTTTACCCCTGTGAAGTATTTCTCCATAGACCGTGTGTTCAGGAATGAGACCCTTGATGCCACCCATCTGGCAGAGTTCCACCAGATAGAGGGTCTGGTGGCAGACTATGGCCTCACGCTTGGGGACTTGATGGGAGTTATCAAAGAATTCTTTAAAAAACTAGGTGGGTGAGATGAAAAGTGAAGTTTTAGACCTGTTGTTATAGTTACAATAGCTAGTATATTATTCTGCACAGTGTGATTTCTTTGGTTATGTAGTTTTCATGGATGCTAATGGTGTGAAAGTTTATGTGTAACTAAACTGGTAAAAGAAATTAACCAATATGTATGTGGTCATATCCCATTAGGTATCCAGAAATTGCGTTTCAAGCCAGCATACAACCCCTACACGGAACCTAGCATGGAGATATTTGGCTATCATCCAGGTATGGATTTCTTATGAAAGTTTATGAGAGTCAATGGAGAGAATTCTTATGAGAAGGTGATGCTAACTTTGCCTCGTGGTCAAATATCTTCATTTGGAACAAAGCTAGATTTTATTTTTTGATGTGTAAACAAGGATTTTAACAGGTTCTGTTTTAAATAGTATTGACTAGTGTCGTTAAATGTTGGTGCCTCAGTTTTCACAAGATAATTGCTTATTATTATTATTATATCTAAGTCAGATAACATCCACTTGGTGAGAAACTGGTTTGCCTAATACAAAGCAAATGCCAGCTGAAAGTTCTAACCAGTGATTTGTTTTAAATATATTGTTTGATGGAAGATAGAGCATGCCCTTGTAAGCAACGTAGTGTAACTCTGTTTTAAACTGCAGGTCTGAAGAAATGGGTGGAGATTGGAAACTCGGGCGTTTTCCGACCAGAAATGTTGCTCCCCATGGGGTTGCCAGACAATGTTCAAGTGATTGCTTGGGGACTTTCCTTAGAAAGGTATGGGCAGATTGCCAACCTTGTTATCTAAGAAAGTAATTTTAAGTTCATACCTTTATTTTTGTATTTATTATTTTTTGAAGGAAGAAACTGCTAGAACAATTTTGTTTCAGATTAAGAAATTTGCAGATAGTCCAAAGCAGATTTTGCAGATAGTCCAATGCAGATAAATCTTCAAGGACGTATAGATAGTATGTAAACAAAATTGGACTATAAAATGAGTATTTAGATTTAGTTATCTATAATAATATTAATACGAGCTCAGCAATCTGATTAAAATGATATTTCTCTTCTTTTCTGTCAGGCCCACCATGATCAAGTATGGCATAGACAACATCCGTGATCTGATTGGACCAAAAGTTAACCTACAAATGGTGTATAATAATCCTATATGTCGACTAGACAGACACTGAATTCCTTGTGATTCTCTTTATGGTCCAAAGGCAAGCTTTGTGAAGCACCACTGGGACAAGCATATTTATTACAAATCCAATCACCTGGACTTTATATATCAGTCCCTTTTACCTGGAAAAAGAAATATCAGACCATGGAAAATTATGAAATATGATTTCATTCAACAGATTACAGCAAGAACATCCTTTGTGATTTGCCATCAGCTGCAATAGCCTTTAATTATCTGATTAAATCAATCTGATCAAAGGAATCAAAGAAATTGAAAGAAATGCCAATATATTTATCTCAGTAATAAATTGATAACCAACAGAAGATGCAGTATGATTTTTGTTAACAGATTCCAGGATACTTAACTAAAGGGGGGGGGGGGTTCAAGTTAATAGCCTTGCCATTTTTATGCAGTAATAATAATGAAGTTAATAAATGATAAATCAAAAATTTACTTTAATGCGATTCCCTCAAACTCAAACATCTTCCCGTTGTGGGGCACATTTCTTTTCTTTTAAGGAGTGTTCATATAGATTATTTGTAGCAGCACAAAACGGATATCTTATAGCACATCACTGCATTGTGCTTTGTGAACTAGCTGGTATGAACATCTTCTATGAAAATATTTTATCTTTTTGCAGTGCAGACATAATTGTGTTCTTTCCATCACTTGGATTAGAATCTGTAGACCAATTTAATCCCTAGCTTTTCTTTAAAATAATGACATATTTCAAAGAATTTCACAAATGATTTTATTTTTATCCTCCCTTATTTCTGAAAAGTAACAGTAGAATTTAAAAAACCCTAAATCTGGATTATCTTGTAGTCTATCTTTTGACAACATAAATACACAAATGCATTTAAATGCCATTAAAATCTTTCATGCACATGCACGGACTTGACAATATATTGTGGAAATGTATAATAAACATGTTTTAGTTATTTTCTAACTTAAAGATCTAGATGAAAAATTTTGCGACAGGAAGAATGCAATATTTTCAGGTAACAAGTGTTTCAAAGTTTCAAAAGAGTTCTATGGTCCATGCCTGCATGGGTCACATCAAATTATTCTCATTATTATCACTTTGTTTAATTCCATCTAATATTCCCATCTCAGATCCTCTGCTTCTCATACTTATATCAGGGGCACTTGTAAATAAACTTGTATTCATTTAATTCAAGCAGTACAAAGGGAAACCTATTTCCACACTTCCACAAAATAACAAAAATATCCATATTATGTCTCATAGATTTATATTTGAGATAGATAAAGCACCTATACCCATTCCCTGTGACAACTCTACTGCAAGAAATAACCTATAAATATTAGTGAGAGACCAGACTGTCTGGATTCCATAACTTAGAATAACTTACACATGCTATGGAAGTACCATGAAAACATTTACCAAATGGGGAATGCACAAAAAAACCTGGTGTAGCTGCCTGTCTGCAAGTGAAGAAAACACCGTTTACAATCTTGAGAGATATAACTATTCCACCAGGGAAAACAACAGAAAATGCCAGTTCAGTTTGTACAAGCACATTAAAACCCAAGTAGACGTAAACACCCTCTCATCAAGGAGAGAAAAGAACTGTCCATTCAAGCATAATGAACATTTCGTCTGAGAAGAAATAGCTTGTTCTTATGCATATTGTAGAGGTCTGACTTAATGAAAAGTTCTGATTATACTTGATTATACCACTGATTATACCACTACTATTAAAGGTAATTGGTCTGAAAGGTTATGAAAAATCAGATCACGTTTTTGAAGAGTTCATGAGTTGCTTTGCAGCTGTTGTTAGAACTTGTGTCACTTTGGTTTGAGCTTCAGGGTTAGCTTGTAAATTAACCATAGATGTCACTGCTGCTGGTGTTGTCACATTTGATGATGAACCGGACTCACTTGCAAACCGGAAGAAATAAAGCTGGAATAAACAATATATGTATTACTCATCACAATTTAAATGTCAAAAGCTGTTTCATCTTTATTATAATATTAGACTTCAACCTTCTACAGTTAAAGATATGTTGGAACAGTAATTGGCAACATTAAAGATTGACCATGTACATGTAGTTCCCTGTCACTGAATGGCCACTCACCATAAATCCTACAGCTAACAAGCCATGCAGGAGAAATATGACAAGTAGAGTACCAAGAGCAACCTGAAAACATATACTGACACTACAGAAAGTATGCCAAAAAATATAACATAATGCATTTTATCTGTCTGTAATAATTTGGGCAACTCTTCAAAAAAAAAAAAGTGAACCCATTAAATATTGTTAATACACTGAATAACTACCAACAATCAGTTTAAAAAAATGTTCAAGCATATTTGTCATTACATTGATCAAGAACCCAATCATACAAAGGAAATATATTCAATATATTTTTAAAGTAAATCTTCACATCTATCTTCCATCAATGACCCAATATTAACCCCAAATGTGCAAGTTAAATGTCTTTACAAATAAAATAATTGATATGCAAATCAAAAAGAAAACAGGTAAAAGGTAAATGTTTGTTTTAGCTTTCAACATAAAGGGAGTTTTGTAATTAAAAACAAATGAGCTGCAGCGTTTATTGAGGAAAATATATCAATTGGATTATACCTACAAAAAATCTTGGTGGAAGATCACAAGCCATCCCCATTAATGGCAAGATATGGCAAAATTGACCAAGCAAATTAATTTACAAATCAAATTTAAAGGGACAAGGATTGGGAAGTGGAAATCATTACAAAACCTCAAAAAAAAAAAAAAAAAATCTCACATATTTCCCCCCCAAATAAAAAAATTACCCACAATTTACCCACACCTCTTTTTCTTTCTAACACAGGCATGTCATTTGAGAGTTTCAAAATAAGAAAATAAAGTTTGATTTTGTTCAGTCAGCAAACAAACAACTAAACTATAGGAAAGGAAGCAAATTTATTGGTGCAAGATTTTTCATGAAAGAGCTTTTGATTGCAAAATTAACTCTCTGAACATAATGCTCAATGTTAACTTCACCTAATCCATTCATACACCAAAACATTTTTCAAAATCATTTAAACTTTAGATCTTTTTTTTTTTTAAATTTTGGTAGTCCCCACTGAAACATTATTTTCTCTCAACATTATAATTACTGTGGCATGCTCTATAATTTTGTTTCCTTAATTTCAATAACAATAAAATACTTAAAACATGGCATATTTTAGTTATGTTGGTCATTAATCAGAAAGCCCTTTATTTTGATAACTAAAAATCTCTACCTTAAGCTATTAAAAAAGCAGAGATTTTAATCTTAATAAAATTGTGAGTGAGGGTAGGGACGAAGGAGCCTGAATAAAGTGCCTTTTCAAAACACCAAAAACAAAGGAAAATCTCTTACGGGGTCAAAGATCACAGACTTGAAAATAAAAATAAATTCAAATTATTGTATTATATTGCATGTAATATCAATGACCTCATAGTAAGTACAAAATGAGTCTCTAAAAAGGCTGAAAAAATGGTTTGTGTGCGGTACTTTAGAATAGACTGATGAGGAAATGACACAATATGCAACCCACCCCTTTAAATGCTAATGTTGTTAAAATTCCATTCTTTGAACAACAAATAAATAATTACTCAGATTATTTAAAATCAACAAAACAGCAACACTATTGTACACACTGTTAACAAATCAAGACAGAGTCTTGTCAACTTACTTTTTTATCATCTTCCTTCACCGCTGGCCAAAACACAATTACAAGGACTGTCCCAGATAGCACCATGGATAGAATCACCAATAAATATTGAAGCCAACTGATATTAATCACCCACAGGATCTGAAATCAATTCAAAAACTTTATCTAGGTACACTGTAGGAAAGGTAACAAAATGGAATCTGCATATATATATGAAGTCAGCACTAACTGAATAATATTTAAGGAGGGGAATCACCAAAATCGTGCCACAACAATATATAAATAAAAATTTGCCAGAATTTCATCAGTTGTAAGTCAATACTTACTGACACTGGGACATATATGGCCAGAGAATACCCATATACACAGAGTATCTCTAAGAAGCTATATCCAGCTGAGCTACGCCTCCACCACAAGAACCCCCACAGCGCTAAGGGGACCAGGAGCCAATAGCTGAAGATTGCTGTAGCTGAGAATGTCACTGAAAGCAAATATATCAGAAATGAAATGATTCATCAAATAACAAATTAAAGTCTTTTTGTGAATACTGGTTGCCTTGTAAGTTGTGTTCTGCCCAAGGAGTTTCATTGAAATCTTGCTGCTACAACACCAAACAAACTTAATTTATTAATAATTTCAATTAATTGAAAAATACAAAGCATACCAAGCAAGCACTGTTAAAAAGAAAACATAGTAATTTTTTGCCATAACTGTCAAACTATAAATACACACAGCAAACATGCAAAAGCTAAACAATATTAAGATTCTGTTAATTTCTCACCTTTGTGAAAATCATATTTCCATTCGTAATCTCTCCCTTCTGTGTGAAAATAGTTTGCCAGGTTTCCAGTGATTGCTGTGGTGAAAATTAATGTTGCACATATCCAAAAGGGACCTGGAATATTGGGGAAAAATGCTGTCAGGAAATCAAATGGTGCTCTCTCTACAGTTTTAATGTGATGTAATTTTGCATGCACATTTTAGTTACACTCAACAAGTCTTAGTCTCTCCAGTACTTTAGTATGTCTATATTACCCTTGGTTTTTACTTTTTAAAATCAATTTTGAATTACAGATAGAAAATTTTGAGAATTCAAAAATCATACCATACAAGTCTGGGTTTGGTCTAATATAGGACTGGAGATAGTTAGATTTAGGCCTGGGCACCACAGAGTTCAGAATCCTGATTACTACTTGAATGGTGTCAACATCAAACAGGGTCTGGTAGTACTCAAATGTCCAAAACGATGGTTGTTTTTTGTCTGTCAACAGCTGGTAAGGAGAGAAAAAAAATTTATGATTTTATCAAATACAAAAAAAAAATGTCTTCCATACTGATATAAATGTATTTATATCAAGGGGGAAAATTTAGCTTCAGATTCTTCAAGACTATTTTGTCAACTGGTCCAAACTAATTATTTTGGATTATTCAATTACATTATCTTATAATTTCCATTAGTCGATTGCAAAATGCATGAAACACTGCATCAAACATTGATGGTCAGGGTTTACTAAAGTGGTGTAGCAGAATCCATGTTAATGCATTGAGTTCAAATATACACATATTTCTTCAGCTATATGATTTAATACACTCTTATTAAATTAATAGAATATAGTCCTGAATTCAAATGTCCACACATCACCTGTGGTTTGCCCTCCACTTCATCCTCAGAATCATCAGCTGCTGCAGGGAAAGTGGTAAATGTGTGTGTCTGACCATCTTCATCACGTGGACCCTTTTCAGAACCATGAATATGGGGAATATCTGGGAAAAAGCAATAGATGTTGTTTCCATCAAATTGTTTGTGAGCTTTGCTGGACTTTTTAAATCATAACATTGTTTTTCAAAGGAATTATATAAAAAGCTACTACCAGCATATACCAATATGTACACAAGTTGGATTTTCATAATATGCCTTACTGAACATCTGCTATCTATATACAGATACATGTTTAAGTCCGTTCTTAAATCATCATGAAGTAAAAGTAACAATGAAGGCTTTTTTGGGGGCGCCTTTAAATGAAACATGAGCCCCCATTCCCCAAACATCAACTCAGTTTATGACATACATGTAGTGGAAACTCTTGTTACTGAAGAAAAAGCATTTCGATTAAGAGTATTTCAAACTCATCAAAAATCTAATTTAATTGATTCAGATACCTTGAAACTCTAACTGATCAGCTGGATCCTGCAATGAATAAAAAAAAGTTTTAGTTTGTATACAACATCTTGCAAATGGATTCATGTAGAGTCAGTGTAGCGTCAGTAGAGTTGCAATGTAATACTGGTATAACCTATTGATATTGCACTGTTAACTACCAGCTTGATACTTGATGGATGTAAAAACCATGTAAGACAACCTTTGTTTTATCCCACTACAAGATAAACATAACGTAAAACTTCAATAATAATAAGGTCGTAAGTGGTAACCGGCCAAGTAAACCATAACTTAAAGTAACCATCACTTCACCAATGGTAAGTGAACAATGTATAAATATAGCTATATTATTATCACAGATGAATAATTCATGCAACACTAAATGTACATGTACATCACACTCGTCTGCTTGTAGTTCACGATACTCAAAGAGAAAAATTACAGTCCTGATACATCACAAAGACCACACGAAACAGCAGAAACTGTTGTATTAAATACCTGATCAATATCAAGTAACGTGGAATCTTTTCCTGCCATTCTGTTGTATGACACCTTCTAATGTGAAATTTGTGCCAAATTTGTGTTGGCACTTATTATAGTGCCGCAGCAAATTATTTTCCGGTTAAAATCTTACACTAAAAGGTCATTAAAAGCTATGGTAAAATTGTATTATTTATATATTTATTTTTTACTTCTATACAAGAGTATTTTAGAAATCAAAGGTAGAGAATTATTTTGTTTCAAATTCAGCTCCGCAGCTACCATAATCAAAGCATGGCGAAGGCAGGTGGACGTCTGAAACGTTTCGGCAGTTACGTTGGTAAATATCAAAGTTATAAAAAATGACAATAACTTGTAGTAATAATAATTACATGTCGACTCAACTACCCTTTTCGGCGATCTAAAACATGACATTGAGTCGTCAGTGGATTCTGCTGTAGTGCTGTAAATTTTTCGAATCTGAATGATCTCAGCTCACTTGTGCTTCCCTTGCAAGAGAGATTTTCATAATTTGGTATGCAAACTGATTCAGTCAAAGCTGTTCATGACATAACAATCAGGTTTTGTATTAAGGAATTCTCTGTTGCAGGAGGTTGGAATGGAAAGTAAGAGGAACTGAGGTCATTCAGATTGGAAAACCCCATGTGATACGCACCCTTCATGAACTCAATGAACATCCAAGCAGCTGAAACTTAAGCAAAATGTTAGGCCCAGGGCTGGCAGTGTGTGCAGGCTTGTGTGCTGCCTTGGCATCTGTGAGTGCAAAGCTGGCAATGACAGGGGAGGTGGCCCTGAGCTATTGTATACTGGGGCTTGACACATATGGTGTTATCGCCAGCCAGGAGATCTGCAACACTGTGATATACTACCTCAGGGCATCATTCTTTGCAATGATATTCCTCTGGAATGCACTGATGTGGACGTTCTTTGTGAAGGCTTTACAAGGCTGCAGCAGCTCGTTGGAGGCAACAGTGACAAATACAGCTTCCAATTTTTTCTTCACGGCTGTATTGGGGAGAGTTCTGTTTGGAGAGACATTATCCCTTGTTTGGTGTCTGGGTGCTTCTTTGATAGTGTTGGGTCTTTTGCTGATACATAAAGGAAACTCTACGGAAAAGATGGCTAAGAAGACAGAGTGATGTTTTTGTAGGATCAATTCATTATGTATGCATACATGAAATAACTTAGTAATTATTTAAACTACTGGTATCATCTCTTTCTAATTCAGTTGCTTCTTAGGGCATTTTAATAAGCATGCTTTTGTTGAAAAGTCATGTTGCTGGGATTGAGTTGGAAATGTTTGTTCTGAAATTATTTGACTATTGCTGTTATTATTATGACATAACTTAATTGATTTTTACAAACTGCTGTCTTTGCAAACTATTCTTAGCAGGTTGTTGTCACAGTCCCCTTTATATTTGCTGATACATCTTTGTTCTTCAATTTCAGCTGACTACATAAAGCTAGTCTACACTGATTACACAAATGTTGCCAAACAAACTGTCAAGGATGCTGCAGACCATCCCTTCAGAGCCACATGGTACACAACACTAATAGGAGGCTTATTGTATTCATGGCACACCAATCCAGATGAACGAAGTTTTCGAATAAAACTAATTCAGAACACTAACGATTTACTCGCAGTTAGCCATCTTGTTCGGAACCCAAACAGTGATAGGCACATGCAGATGTTGGCACAGGCAGTAAACCATGATGAACTAAGGCGGCTGAACCTGGGTATATGCTCAGTGATGTATTTGAAGGATTATGGTTCGGATGTGGACCTGTATGCCGCCCACTGTAAGTCTGTTTCCTGGAGGTGGTGGCAGTTCAAGGATCAAATCGTGGATGTAGGAATGTGGAACTACTGGTTTAGACTGACCTCCATGATGTCAGAATATGATGTTAACCCAGAGGAGTGGAGTTGATGAAAGAGGACACTTATTTCTTTAGGAGAATTGATGTACATGTTGCAGTTTTTCAATTTGTTCATATTTTACTAGCACATTTATGATTCTCTTTAATAAACTCCTTCAATTAAATTTTAAAATACTACCCCAATATGGTTTTTGACTGTAGCTACAAGTATCGAGTCAGACTAATGTGACTGGCTTCTGGTGAAATTTGAAGACTGTATATTCATCATATTGAAGGTTGACTGACTTAGGCCCAACCTTTTTCAAAGGCCACACTTTCATATACAGGGCAGGTATACCATATGAAATATACCAATACCAGAACCATTTAGTGATGTGCTGTATTTGAAGTTAAAGCATGGGTGTCTTTGTATGAACAGAGCATCGTTTCAAGTTTTTTTAAAATAAAAAGTAAGTTGATGGAAGAGCATTAGTAATTTTTTCTTTATTAAAGGTCTTTAACATCAGAACTTANTAAATATCAAAGTTATAAAAAATGACAATAACTTGTAGTAATAATAATTACATGTCGACTCAACTACCCTTTTCGGCGATCTAAAACATGACATTGAGTCGTCAGTGGATTCTGCTGTAGTGCTGTAAATTTTTCGAATCTGAATGATCTCAGCTCACTTGTGCTTCCCTTGCAAGAGAGATTTTCATAATTTGGTATGCAAACTGATTCAGTCAAAGCTGTTCATGACATAACAATCAGGTTTTGTATTAAGGAATTCTCTGTTGCAGGAGGTTGGAATGGAAAGTAAGAGGAACTGAGGTCATTCAGATTGGAAAACCCCATGTGATACGCACCCTTCATGAACTCAATGAACATCCAAGCAGCTGAAACTTAAGCAAAATGTTAGGCCCAGGGCTGGCAGTGTGTGCAGGCTTGTGTGCTGCCTTGGCATCTGTGAGTGCAAAGCTGGCAATGACAGGGGAGGTGGCCCTGAGCTATTGTATACTGGGGCTTGACACATATGGTGTTATCGCCAGCCAGGAGATCTGCAACACTGTGATATACTACCTCAGGGCATCATTCTTTGCAATGATATTCCTCTGGAATGCACTGATGTGGACGTTCTTTGTGAAGGCTTTACAAGGCTGCAGCAGCTCGTTGGAGGCAACAGTGACAAATACAGCTTCCAATTTTTTCTTCACGGCTGTATTGGGGAGAGTTCTGTTTGGAGAGACATTATCCCTTGTTTGGTGTCTGGGTGCTTCTTTGATAGTGTTGGGTCTTTTGCTGATACATAAAGGAAACTCTACGGAAAAGATGGCTAAGAAGACAGAGTGATGTTTTTGTAGGATCAATTCATTATGTATGCATACATGAAATAACTTAGTAATTATTTGAACTACTGGTATCATCTCTTTCTAATTCAGTTGCTTCTTAGGGCATTTTAATAAGCATGCTTTTGTTGAAAAGTCATGTTGCTGGGATTGAGTTGGAAATGTTTGTTCTGAAATTATTTGACTATTGCTGTTATTATTATGACATAACTTAATTGATTTTTACAAACTGCTGTCTTTGCAAACTATTCTTAGCAGGTTGTTGTCACAGTCCCCTTTATATTTGCTGATACATCTTTGTTCTTCAATTTCAGCTGACTACATAAAGCTAGTCTACACTGATTACACAAATGTTGCCAAACAAACTGTCAAGGATGCTGCAGACCATCCCTTCAGAGCCACATGGTACACAACTCTAATAGGAGGCTTTTTGTATTCATGGCACACCAATCCAGATGAACGAAGTTTTCGAATAAAACTAATTCAGAACACTAACGATTTACTCGCAGTTAGCCATCTTGTTCGGAACCCAAACAGTGATAGGCACATGCAGATGTTGGCACAGGCAGTAAACCATGATGAACTAAGGCGGCTGAACCTGGGTATATGCTCAGTGATGTATTTGAAGGATTATGGTTCGGATGTGGACCTGTATGCCGCCCACTGTAAGTCTGTTTCCTGGAGGTGGTGGCAGTTCAAGGATCAAATCGTGGATGTAGGAATGTGGAACTACTGGTTTAGACTGACCTCCATGATGTCAGAATATGATGTTAACCCAGAGGAGTGGAGTTGATGAAAGAGGACACTTATTTCTTTAGGAGAATTGATGTACATGTTGCAGTTTTTCAATTTGTTCATATTTTACTAGCACATTTATGATTCTCTTTAATAAACTCCTTCAATTAAATTTTAAAATACTACCCCAATATGGTTTTTGACTGTAGCTACAAGTATCGAGTCAGACTAATGTGACTGGCTTCTGGTGAAATTTGAAGACTGTATATTCATCATATTGAAGGTTGACTGACTTAGGCCCAACCTTTTTCAAAGGCCACACTTTCATATACAGGGCAGGTATACCATATGAAATATACCAATACCAGAACCATTTAGTGATGTGCTGTATTTGAAGTTAAAGCATGGGTGTCTTTGTATGAACAGAGCATCGTTTCAAGTTTTTTTTAAATAAAAAGTAAGTTGATGGAAGAGCATTAGTAATTTTTTCTTTATTAAAGGTCTTTAACATCAGAACTTATGGGTGGTTCCTTATAACAAAATGTAAAGAGAACGGACCCAGAGAAAATGGAACAAATGAACAGAATGGAAATTGAAGCACATGTTGGAATACATAGATTAGATAAGCGAAATGAGAAGATTAAAACAAATGTAAGTTGCAAGTTCACACTAAATATTTAAATTTTCATTCTGAATGACGATCCTCAAAAAATCCAATAGTGGTCAGTGCCGCGGCGTGGGCGTCAAAGTCGCCCCATTGTGAGCAGTCCACGTGTCTGGTGTAGGGACAGTCTTGGTAGTTGATGACCAACTGCTGGCGAACCTGACGAATTCTGTCAATGAGTGCCTTCGTGATCAGCGTAGAACTGGCATCCAGGTAATATAGTCTGGGAGAAGTGTTCCTGATCATCAGGTGATGAAGCCCGCTGTCGTCGAGTTTATAACACTGCTTCAGAATGAGTGTTTTTAAGGCGGGAAGTTCAATGAGAACGTTCTGAATGCATTGGTTTGTGAGACGAAAACATCGAGTGAGATTGAGATACTCTAGAGCCTTCAGTTCTCTATAAATGGTGAACATGCCCGCATCGCCGAAGTGCTGCCCGTCTGCTAGGTTCAAAGACTTCATCTTGTTTAGTCCCCTGCCGATTTTAGTGAGCCCCACGTCGGTGACGAAACACTGAGCCATGCTGAGAGTTTCCAGGTTTTTACAACACCCTGCGACCACTTCTAGGCAGTGGTCAGTGGCGTGGGTATGTCCAAGGTCTAATGAGACCAGGAATGGACAGAGCATGGCGTACTTGCAGACGTCCATGTCCAGTATAGGGGCATGTTCGCTGTAGTTGGAGAACCAGCAAATATTGAGGTATTTGACGTTGGCACAGTGTTCCGCTATGTATCCCACTTTATAAGGATCCTGTCGCATTCCCAAGCACCTGGCCATTTCTAGCCGCTGCAAACTTGCTTTGTGTGCCGTAACAGCATCCAGGATTGCCCCACATGTTATGAGTCTGCATTCGTTAATGATAAGTGTACGCAGATTTTTAACGGCGTCGGCTACTAGTCGAATTGCAGCGTCGGTGACCAGAGAGCAACCCGCTATGTTAATATGACACAGTCTGCGGCACTTGGAGATGAGGCAAGCCAAAAACTCGTCAGTAACAGACAAACAGAATGATGTGTCCAGGTGGGTGAGCATGTTGGACGACATTCCCATGACTTGAAGGAGTAATTTTGGCGGTAAATCATTATGGGCTTCCAGTGTATCTCTGTACCACAGACTGCGGTCCTTCATCAAGTTAAACAACCGCCTACAAACACAGCGGGCGGACAGAAAGGAGGAATCCATGGCAACAAAACGTAATATATGGAGTATGACGTCATCGGGCAGTTGAATGAGGGTGATTGGATCTTTGCTTTGATCTTGATCATCTAAAATATAGAAAAATGAATGACAAGAAGTTTGCAAATTATTCAAAATAAAAAGCGCAAATTGATCAAAATTAAATGCGTTTTAAAATAGCATAAATCATATGAAAAGGGATGAACTACTGTCGCGAAAACAGATTTTAAACGAGTATTCGACCCTGTTCCCTGCTCAGTAGTAGCTTCAGTTCACTTGTTCAGTCCAAATGGCCCACCCTGAGCTTCAGAGACAACTTGACACTNAAATGGCCATTTTTCGATTTCATTCAAAAGTGAGTTTACTATCGCCGTAGCCAAATTAAGTTGAGAATTTAGATGATTACAACGTATATCTATTAAGTTCATTCAATACTTAATGTTAATTAGATTTATTTACAAAAATATTGCCCAGTTTGTATTTGATCAATTTTTTCCGTCCATGATTTGGGCCCGTGAGGCTGACATATCGTTAAAAATTGTAAGCGCACCCATATCACATAGATTGTGAAAAAAGTACTCCCTTTTCGGGAAAGTATACACCCACGGCCGTAAAAAGAGGCTGAAGCCTAACGAAAAAAATTACCCTTTGACTGCAGAGTGCGCTAGTAGTCTGCTGCAAAATTATTGTATCTCTCACACTTAATGTTTACTATTTAAGGGACCCTGATGTCATAGGAGAGAAAAAATTATTTAAAAATATTGGGTTGTGGAAAGGTCTGCCCTGGGGTCCGTGTTATCAGTGAAATAGTGCCTTGTCTATCTCACCTATGGCTTACAATATGATATCTAGACTTAAAGGAGCTAAACAAGACACTTAATAAATTCTTAATCGGACCAGAATTCGATTAAAGTCGATAAATTGTAAACTGACACAAGGGTAAGTTGTTCATGGCAACTTGCCAACAGTCATGTAAACGAATAGAAAATTACCTGCAATTGTAAAATCATTTTCTTTTCCGTCGACCCGTGCACTGTCATTGACAGGAAATCTTAGTTCATCTGTTTGAACAGACGCATTTTTGGTTTGGTTAGCAATAGGTTGGGTGTCCGATGTAAAAGCAAAAGGTGCGTCTGTCTGAGCCTCTTCTTCTGTATGCCCGACGACTGCGCTGTTTGCGGTTACAGTGTACTGCTGCCGACGGCCTCGACCTAACAGTCTGCCGAGCCCGCGCCATGGCTGGAAAAGAAATGTCATTTGTCCAATAGTTTATGCTTTGCTTCTTATGGTTTTATCATAAATTTTCATTAATTAATTTTCATTTTTTTGTTGTTAAATCATGTTTGATTTTCATCAATATGCACAAGCTCTTAGAAAGAGAAATAATAAAAAGACATCTTTATCTTTAGTCTGCAATATGTACGCAAATTGCGTATTATTTCATTTTTAAGTTTTCGAAAAATGACAGTGATGAAATTATCATGATGATAGTACCAAGGAAAATAGTTCAAAAAAGAAGAAACTTATCATACCATTTCGTCCACCGCGGTTGTGATGAGTGGTAGTTACGTCACAGAAGAAACACGTCATGTGAGACGGAAGAAAGGTTAAGCGCGTCACAACTTTGCGGCCTCTCTTTTCTTTTGCAGTTTCCACGAGGGCTGTCACAAAAAAAAAAAAAAAAAAAAAAAAAAAAAAAAAAAAAAAAAAAAAAAAAAAAACTACTTTCATTGAATTAAACATTTCGCTGTCCACAACTTTTGGTGCTGAAAATGACAGTTAGCACTATTACACAGCTTGTGTAGCGCAAGAAACAATGCTTTATTATCCCCTAATTGTAGAAGACAAACTATTGCCCTTAAAATCCTCAACGATAATTCAGCCTTGTTTTCAAAGCTGTGCTTGTTGTACCGAATACCTTTTTAATACATTAATGACAACGCACTAAAACGCATTTTCTATATCGTATTTCATAGCCATCTCCCACCGTTCTGACCCTCTATGCGTAATTTTTTTTTTTTTCGCTGACCAGTTTCAACGTGTTCATAATAAACTTGTGTCTTCCTTTAAAATCTTTTTTTTTTCTTTTTTTCTTTTTTTTTTTGTTCTTCTTATTGGGTAGTAAAAACCAAGCTCAGTTCAAACAAGTTTACTTGGTATCTTTTTTAAATGTGAAGGATCAACAGTCGACGCCAAAATAACATTGATGAATGTTTTCATACATGTAACTTAGACTCTCCTTTTTATTAAGAATGAAATCCCCATGAAAAGGTCTGAAAAAATAGGCTATTCTTTTACACTATAAAAACATAGCTATCCTCAATATTACACCTTAAACACAATATCGATGAGATTTTTCGAAGAGTACTTTGAACTGTCAAAGATGAAAGGATTTGGTTATCAGCGCCGTTTAATATATACTTGCATATCTATTTAGTCATAAATTAAATTTTTGTTTGCATTGAAATAATTTATCTTCATAACTGTCCCTGGATTATCTCTTCATCACAGCAATTGAATTCACAGGGAAAGTTGATGACTTCGTATTTGCAAACTAAGACAATCATCTCGTGATACTTATAAATAGCTGTTAAACCAACCGTCTTCCGGACACTTCCCATAGTCATTATGTATACCAGAGTTTTCCAAAATATCACTTGATTCCAACGTCTCCAGCCTTTATTTCCTTGCGATGTATTCTGTCTAAAATGTAAGTTTTAAAAAGTATGTAATAGCCGCAAATTGAGACGAAGACTACAGGTAATATTCAACGACAGCCGAGAGGACATTACACTGCAGCAAACTCTTCAAAATAATTTTGAGGGAGATTTACTGTACCCCCCCCCCCCCCCCACACACACACACACACACACGAGAAAAAGGGATTAAGTTTAAGCAGTTTAAATTGTTTGACATAATTCTGATTTTTGTTACGCAATGGCTTACAGTCACGTATGCCTTCGTATTTGCAAACTAAGACAATTTGCGTACTGCTATCTTTCTGCCAATTCAACAGTTGTTTACACAAAAAAGCTTAAGCAACTCTGAACCCCTGGCGCTCAGTATCTAGATTCGTTTAATTGACTTGTTGTATCTACTTTGGTCGCCAAGCGATTTTAAAACACATTTGACTAAACAAGTTATAAGTTTTCTCACAGTTCTGTGTTCCTCTTGCATTCCTGCACTTTCCGCGATGTCCGGGTGACAACGAAGTATATTTTCAAAGATGAATTGTCTACACGTCGTTTGTGTTCTAGCCTTTTGTTTCCGTGAGTATTTGAATTATTTAGTATGTTTCTGGAGAATATTTGCCATCCAGTCGAGATTATATACATAATCATCTATTATTTCACTGGATTGCAAAAAGTATAAGCTATTGATAGGGGAGTTCAGTAGAAGAATTTAAAAAAAAACTTATTTTAAGTGTGTTTGTGTAAATTACGTTCTTTATGTATTTCACCGCCTTCAAAGACTCACAAAGGCTACTTTATTTTTCAAAAGTATTAAGGGGTCTAGGATATTAACGAAAAAGTCCAAAACTAATGCACCTAATTAAATTTCCTATTAACTAAAGAATATGGTCTAGCAAGCAAAACAATTTTCCAAAGTTTGTAGTCACAGTGTAACACGAGTGACGTAATACCAGCGTTTTGGGGCTAAAATTGTAATTTTTTAAACAAGATTTTTCTCTTAAACATAATATAAATACGATTGAAATAGCTATCTAAAGGTTAGCACAAAAACCAGCAAACTCTGTCAGGATTTTCTCTTATTATTTTTTACTTTTGATTTTATTTTGATAAAACGTGAATTTTACGACATATATATGGACCTTCCACTTTCAGTATTAATAACTTCAAAAATAAAAGGTCAATCCAAAATCCAAGACTCAGTCGACTAGATATTATACTGAAACACAGACACATCAAATTTCATGTCAATCTGACAAGAAAAGAATGAGATATGGGGATTGACTATGTTATCAATCTTCATAGCTGAGAAATCGCTCATAAACCATTTGGCTCAGGTAATTGGGCTAATTTAGCAAATTAATTGCACCTCCACCTTACCTGTTATCATCTTATTGATCGGGAAGGTCTATTTACCATTACGTGTTAAAATTGGGTTGTTTGTTTTTATCTAGATGCCAGAAAATCTTAGTTTTGTACGCAAACTTATTCGCACCACGAAAGCCGCTCTTCCCTGAGAAATGATTGACAGCTGAGTAGGCCTACCTACTCTCGTTTCGCTGACGTAATTAATCATAATTGTGCCTGACGCAGTAGGAGTCTATGCACTGTCTAGGAAGTGTCTAAGGAAGCGCTAACAAACAAAAAGAAAATTACTTGAGGTGCAAGCAGAGGACAATGCTACCCGTCGTGCGTGGACGCCGCTCTACACACCAAGACGCGAAAATGGAGAAAGCAAAGAAAGAATTAGTCCGAGAAATGGCCGAATGTGGGTACGTATCAGCCACAATGCCACAGAGTGCCAAGACCGTAATATGCAAGTTTGAGAATGTTTTGGGTGGCAATATTATTTATAAACTTGCTTGCTGGTACGATCTTTATTGTGAATAAAATGATTGCCTAACGATTTTTTTCTCTGACAACCCCAGACGTTGTACAAATTCTCAGCAGCTCAAGCGTGATCTTGACGTGACGTGATTGAGACGCTAAGGGAGAAAATTTAATATATTGTTAACAATGTTATGGAAACAATATAATCTCAGTTTAGCTGACGTAAGACTTATGAGCTGCCAGTGCACGCGTAACAGCTTAAGACAAGTTAGACAACCATTCTTGCCCCGCCCCCCATAGTAACGGTGCTTGACAACGGAGGCCGAGCCTAAAGGCTGCCACGGACAGGTAGAAAAACTCGTCCAAATGTATATTTTTAGTCCGTGTTGAAAAAATGTAACTTAATTGAGTATTAGATACAATACTAGTTATTTCTAACGTATAAAAAAACTAAAAATCGAGTTTAAGACGTATTTTTAATATCCTTGACCCCTTAATTATGCTGATCGAATCTTTTTTGTGTGATGGTAATCATTGATCTTCCGACTGGTAACTTCTCGAAATAAGAACGTATTTTTGGAATGAGCATTGATTGAGATTATCCGTCACCCTAGGTATCGTGCACACCCAAGTGTCTTGTTCATTTGAGGACGGACCATGTGGTTGGCACAACGTCAGTGATGACCCACAACAAGGATGGGGTATCTGGCACATGGCAAAACAGACCTTTAAACGCCCTCATGATAGTCACAGATTCTCGGGACCACAAGATGACCACACCCTTCAAAGTAAGAACATTACCAATGGTCATGGCCTTAATTCGTAATGACAAACTTGGGTCTTTATTAATTTTGGTTTTAGCTTTATTGTATAGCTGCAATCGGTTCGTATGGGTGACCCAATGCTGGACTTTAACCATATTTTCATTTTTTTTATTTATTTATTTTCTTGCATTTTACGTTCTGTTTATTTATTTTATCACGTATCTGATATCTGGCCGTGGCATTTCGATATTTCATTCAGACATGTTAATTGCAATATTTGTTTTGTTTTGATGAATTTCGCCTTTTCCAGATCTACAAGGGAGTTATCTTTATTACATCTTCAGCTACACTCCACCCCGGCGTGGTTGTTCTCGAAACGAAACAGAGATCCAACTAGAAAGTAGCTTGTTGGACCTAACAACAAAGGCTAATTTTAGCTTCTGGTATGTGTTAAAAGGATGGTCTGTCGGCCATTTGCACCTTTTTGGTAAGAACGGACTTAAACTTTGGGACTCCTCCGTTAACCACACTGGTTCCGAATATTGGACGCAAGCCAGTGTCCAGCTAGATTCTGGAGTTTATCGAGTAAGTTCTAAATACTGTTGACTACTAAACTTTTTAAAGTGTATCTATCACCCCATTTTCATAGATTAGATCGACCTACTTTAGATCGACCTAACTCCCTGGGGGTTCACGCTAAATAGCTGTCAGCCGGGCGGACACGAAAGTTAATTACTCCCTTACAGCTTGTAGTAGGCGGGACGGATATTTAAGTCCGATTATCTGAAAGTAATCTAGTGAGACTCCCCGCGGGGATAGATCGATCTAAAATCTATGGGAATAGAGTCTATGAGTAAACGGGAGGTGATTTTATCCCACCAATCCGTCCATTGTAATTTCCTCTATACCTTCGAGCCACTAAAATGAGGAACCTAAAACTTTGGGGGTTTATGGAATTACAAACAGAAATGTGAATGGACCCTTTGGAATTTTAGCGTGACTAGAAATGTGGCTCCCCCATAGATGTTTCTTATTTTCCAAAATGGATTTTTTTCGTGCATATTTTTAATGACCATTGTGGGAATCCTACTGCAGTGATTCAGTAAATTCTTTACGTGAATTTAAATTTTCTAATGAGTTCTTAATAACATGCAACAACAATATGCATGTATGTTTTATAAGGAAAAACAGTAATTTGACCATAGGGATGGAGTTGTACCTTAGTGCAAGTAATATTGAAATAGGGCCAGTAACTTTTCTATCCCAACTGGATGTATGAACGCTGGCAATCCATGTTTTTGCACTGAAAAAATTGGGTTGTACATGATTCTTTGTGTTAAAATAAGAAATAACTTCTTTCATGAATGACGTTATTTCATGTATCAGTTTTCTTTAAAAGGAACACTGACACTGTATTTGTTTATATTTTTAGTTAACATTTAAAGCAAGCTGCAAACATGCAATGCATAATGATATTGCGATTGACGACATAGTACTAAAAGGAGAACCTTTGGGCACAATGACAACAGCACAGTATGATGAAACAACAGCGCTGCCTTTAGAGACATCAACTGAAGCTGAATTTAGCAGGACGAAAAGGCCAACCACCAGAAAAACAGGACTGTCTTTGCCCTTAGAGACAACAACAACAGTTGAATCGGGCGGGACAAAAAAACCAACTATCAAAACAACAGCATGTAAGTAAAGGTTCTATTTGTGAACAATATTTGACGTCCAGTTGAAATAATTTACTAATTACAGTATATATTATTTTGCTGCAAAAATGGTAAATTATATAAATTATTTATTGGAACTCCTGTAGTAGGTTTAAAACATGATATAAATGTGTAATTCACATTCTTTATGTAATTTATAAAATTATTTTAAAAACTCTCCATGTGGGCTACTAAATCTTTCAAAAATCCTAAATTGTGCTAATGTTTTTTTTTTTTTTTTTTTTTTTTTTTGTAAACTTTACTCGGTCCATCTCTAAAATCTCAAAATGTGGATGAAATTTTGTAATGAATACTGACTGAGATCTTCCGTCACCCCAGGTTGCGTGCACACCCAGGTGTCTTGTTCATTTGAAGACGGACCATGTGGTTGGCACAACGTCAGTGATGACCCACAACAAGGATGGGGGATCTGGCACATGGCAAAACAGACCATTAAACTCCCTCATGATAGTACTTTATTCTCAGGACCCTACGATGATCATACCCTTCAAAGTAAGAACAATTTTATTGGTCATTTCCATAATTTTATTTTTATTGCCATTTGCCTAAGTTCTCTCCATTTATTTGGGTGACCTACTGCTGGACTTACAAGCTTTTTAATGTCATTTATTTATATTTATTTACTTTGGCCTGACCGTGGCCATGGTGTTGCGATATTCTATCAAAACAAATGAATCAAAATTTTGAAAAGTTCATTTTAATTTTTGTAATTCCCCCTTTTCCAGATCTACAAGGGAGTTATCTCTATTACACATACACAACGTCTATGCCTATGAGGTGCTTGGATAGCCAAACAGAAATACAACTAGAAAGTAGTTTGTTGGACCTTACAACAGCGGCTAATCTTACCTTCTGGTATGTGTTAAAAGGAGCGGCAGTTGGCTACCTGCACCTTTTTGGTAAGAACGAAGTTTTACTATGGGACTCCTCCGTTAACCACACTGGTTTCCAGGAATGGACGCAAGCCACTGTTAAGCTTGAGTCTGGAGTTTATCAAGTAAGTGGTATTATTTGTTATAATTACCACATATATATCACCCAAACCTAATATAGAGGTGCATTTCACATACTATGTGTCAAAAGTAATTAGATAAAGAAATAAAATTGAATGAATTCATAGTTGTATTTAATTTTTAAAACATATATGAGTATAGAACAAAAATCCATGATTGTCTCAATTTTAATTTAATTTTTTAATTTTCACCATGTCTTTACATTATGCTAATGGCTCGATCTTTTCAATGGGCAAAAATTATCAAACTTTCAGATACATCATTTTTGAATCATCAAAATCATTTTTGTATAGCATCTGTGGTGCTTTTAATGCATAGAATAGAAACTAGTCTGCTTTTCAATTTTGTTGCAACCACTCAATAACATGAATGCTCTTATTTTAAGAAATTATGACTTAAAATATACAGTATCTGTAAAATTCACAATTTTCCTCCATTGAAAAGATCAAGTCATATTACCATATGTAAGAAGCCTATGGTATATTCCTGCTTCGTGTCATTTAATTGAAATTTTTATATCGCGTTCCGATATATTTTGTATTGACACAGTCATGGTAAATTTAATATGTCGTAAGGATGTTTTTTTTTTTAATATTTAAACTGTAACTCAAGGGGCTTTGCATCATGGCTAATACTATGTGGGGGAGCCTGGGGCTAGTTGGACCCCGGGGTAAGTTGGCCCCCCATCAATTTATGAAAAAGTAACTATGGGGTAAAAAAATTGATCACATCATTTAGTAAAGTGACCGTATCCAATAGTGCTAAGAAAGCGTCGGTCGTAAAGGTTTACTTAGGCAGTGAGTCCAAATGAAAGAATTCAGCATCTTAAAGTAACTTCATTAAAGAGACTTTAAAATCTATTTTCATAAGTTTTTTGATCGAATATAGTATTTGTGTAGGGCAGCAAACTGAAGCTCATTGTTTCAAGTTTCACAGAAATGTATTGCCGTTGTTCATTCTAACATCATAAACGGCTACAATCCTTTAAGTTTGCCCCCTTGACTCGGGGCAAGTTGGACCCTCATATTCACCACAATCCTTTGCGTGCAACAGAGCTACAGACCGTTGTTGAAACAAACTCAATAGTTTGTTAATTAATTGCCAGTTTAAAACTGAATTTGTTAGTTTCTTTTAAAACGAAAATTTATTATTCGTTTTCAATCATTAAAAACCTGTTTTATACCATTATTAATTAACAAAACTGAATTTGTTAGTTTCTTTTAAAGCGAAAATTTATTATTCGTTTTCATTCATTAAAAACCTGCTTTATACCATTATTAATTAACAAAACAAATTTTATTGAAAGATATTTTGGTTCTTGCAACACATACAACGTGACGTAGGGAAACCTCAATAAATCTGCCTCATTTGTACCATTTATTCATCAAAGACTCTCAAAAGCCAATTTAATAAAATAAAAATGTATGAAAATGTATTTCAAGGCGTTTACATGGGATACTTACTTCATTTTCGTATAGGGTGCCAACTTGCCCCGACCCTGGGGCCAACTTGTCCCGGCGATTTTTGTCAAATTGTGAGCCATCAGGCATTATATTTGAAAAATAATGACGTTGCATACGTAGCTTAGTTCATGGGGCTTTAAAACCGGCTTTTGTTACTCTAACTCATTCCTAGTTGGCTCTACAACTGGGCCAACAAGCCCCGGTCTCCCCTAACGTACATGTATGTTCCTCAGAAAAATTGTCAGAAAGTTTTAATTTACCTAAGTACTTGATACAATTGAAAACTTACCTAAGTACTTGATGGAATTAAAGTCTAACACATTTCTTGAAATGTGACAGACCTTTGTAGGATTTAATTAATTTATTTCTTATAATTTTTTTTTTTTTTTTTTTTTTGGGGGGGGTCACCCTTGATGAATTAGAAATTATATCTTTTATTTACTTTCTTTATCTATGCCAGTGTTTTTGTGTAGCAATTTTCAATACAGGCAATGTTCTATTTTTATACTGTATATCTCTAGTTAACATTCAAAGCAAGCTGCACGTTTACAAGGATGAATGATATTGCGATCGACGACATAGTACTAGAGGGAGAACCTTTGGACACAATGACAACAACACAGTCTGATGAAACAACAGCGCTGTATTTGGAGACATCAACTGGGGCTGAATTGGGTCAGACAAAAAAACCAACTACCAGAACAAAAACGCTGCCTTTGCCCTTAGAGACAACAACAACAGTTGAAACGGACGGGACAAAAAAAACAACTATCAAAACAACAGCATGTAAGTAAAGGTTATGTTTGTGAACAATATTTAATGTCCAGTTGAAATAATTTACTAATCTTATTTTATTTGCTTCAAAAATGGTAAATCATGTAAATTATTTATTGGAACTCCTGTAGTAGATTTAAAACATGATATAAATGTGTAATTTTAATTCTTTACGTAATTCATAAAATTATTTTTTAAAAACTCTCCATGTGGGCTTCTAAATCTTTCAAAAAACTTTAAATGTGCTAAAGGTATTTTTTTCTTTTTTGATTGTAAACATTGCTCTGTCCATCTGTTACATCTCAAAATGTGGATGAAATTTTTTAACGAATACTGACTGTGATAATTCGTCACCCCAGGTTGCGTGCACACCCAGGTGTCTTGTTCTTTTGAGGACGGACCATGTGGTTGGCACAACGTCAGTGATGACCCACGACAAGGATGGGGGGTCTGGCACATGGGAAAACTGAATGGAATTCCTCATGATAGTACTGGATACTCAGGACCTCGCTATGATCACACCCATAATAGTAAGAACATTGCCGATGCTCATTTCCATAAATCATACATGAAACTTAACGTTGGTATTTTGCAAGTTTTGATTCCCTCTTACTTAGCTGCTCTTCATTAATTTGGTGGCTACTACTGGACTGACAGCCTTTTTTATTGATATTTATTTATTTATCTGACCATGACATTGCTAAATTCTAACAAAACTAAAATAAATGTATCAAAATATTGAAATATTCGTTTTAGTTTGTGTAATTTCCCCTTTTCTAGACCTGCGGGGGAGTTACCTCTATTACACGTACACAACGGACCCAATTATGAGGTGCGTTGATAGCCAAACAGAAATCCAACTAGAAAGTAGCTTGTTGGACCTAAGAACAGCGGCTAATCTAAGCTTCTGGTATGTGTTAAAAGGACGGATGATCGGCCACTTGCGCCTTTTTGGTAAGAACGAAGTTTTACTATGGGACTCCTCCGTTAACCACACCGGTTCTGAGGATTGGACGCAAGCCATTGTTCAGCTACAGTCCGGTGTTTATCGAGTAAGTGTTATTAGTCTTTATAATTACCACACATATACCACCCAAATCCAATATAGAGGTGCATTTCATATACTGAAGTATACTCATACTCACATACACACATACTCAAAAATAAATAAATAAATAAATAAATAAAATTGAATGAATTCAAAGTTGTATTCAATTCTTAAAACATGTAAATATGAGTATAGAACAAAAATCCACTACTGTCTCAATTTTCATTTAATTTTTAATTTTCACCATGTCTTTACATTTTCTAACAAGAGGCAATGGTAACGTATGTTCTGGGCCATTTAATTTTAATTTTTATATCGCGTTTCCATATATTTTTAGTGATTCAGTCATGGTAAATTATACATGGCGTAAGGATGTTATCTTATTTTTTTAACTTTTGCGTCATGTCTAATACTATGTAACATGTGTTCCCCAGAAAAATTTTCAGAAAGTTTCGACTTACCTACATGTAAGTACTTGGTGCAATAGGAAACGGTTTTTCTGTTGCTGACTGAATATTTATATTGTTATTCCATGATCATTTGACATTTCTGATACAATATTTGGACCACGATTGGAACCATTTATTTTACTGTCAGTTGGGTGTAACCCCCCCCCCCCTTTAATTTTATTTTTCTTAATTTTTATTATTATTTTTTTTTTGGGGGGGGGGTCACCCTTGAATTAGAATTTTTTCTTTTATTTACTTCTTTCATGGATGCCAGTGTTTTTATGTAGCAATTTTCAGTACAGGGAATGTTCTATTTTTTATATCTATAGTTAACATTCAAAGGAAGCTGCACGCTTACAACGCAGAATGATATTGCGATCGACGACATAGCACTAGAAGGAGAACCTTTGGACACAATGACAACGACACAGTCTGATGAAACAACCGCGCTGCCTTTAGAGACATCAACTGAAGCTGAATTGAGCAGGACGGCAAGGCCAACCACCAGAGCAACAACACATTCTTTGGAAACATCGACAGCAGCTGAATTGAGCAAGAGCAAAAAACCAACCACCGAAACAACAGCACTGTCTTCAGAGACATCGACAGCAGCTGAGTTGAGCAAGAGCAAAAAACCAACCACCAGAACAACAGCACTGTCTTCAGAGACATCGACAGCAGCTGAGTTGAGCAAGAGCAAAAAACCAACCACCGAAACAACAGCACTGTCTTCAGAGACATCGACAGCAGCTGAGTTGAGCAAGAGCAAAAAACCAACCACCGAAACAACAGCACTGTCTTTAGAAACATCGACAGCAGCTGAATTGAGCAAGAGCAGAACACCAACTACTAGAACAACAGCAGTGTCTTCAGAGACATCGACATCAGCTGAATTGAGCAAGAGCCAAAAACCAACTACCAGAACAACAGCACTGTCATTATGGTATATGTTAAAAGGACGGTTTGCCAGCCACTTGGACCTTTTTGGTAAAAATGGAGCTTCACTTTGGGACTCCTCTGTTAGTCATAGTAGTTCCCAGGAGTGGATGCAAGCCAGTGTCCAGCAAGAGTCTGGTGTTAATGGAGTAAGTATATATAGACTGAATGTTGTAGGAAATGATGAAGCTATCTATTGAATAAAGAATATTATCAAAGAATATGAATTCTGGCAATTCATGGTTTTCCATTTGAGGGACTTAAGTTTTCCAAGATCTTTCATGTTTCAGTTTGGAATAAACTCTTTCACCAATGACAATTTTTGCATATGTTAATTTTTCTTACAGGAAACTTTGTATTTGTTTATAATTCTAGTTAACATTCAAAGCAAGCTACAAATATGCATTGTATAATGATATCGCAATCGACGGTATATTACTAAAGAGAAAACCTCTGGACACAATGACAACAGAGCAATCATACAGAACATCAGTGCTGCCTGAGGCATCAGGGGGAACAGAATTGAGAATGACAAAAAGACCAACCACCAGAACAACAGCATTGTCTTTAGAGACGTCAACAGCAGCTGACTTAAGCAAGAGCAAAAAACCAACTACCAAACCAACAACATGTAAGTATTCTTTAAGTTTCTGAACAATATTTGACACCTGGTGGAGAAAACATGCATAATAATCATATAATGCATTCTTTTTGGACTTAAAAAACTATAAGGTATTATTTTTAAGTATTTTAAAAATTAAATTTTAAATTTTAATTAAACAGATAATGTGTGCAATTTATGTTATTATGTAGTATATTAATTCTTTTAAAAACTCTTCATGCAGGTTGCTATATGTTTCAAAAGCCTTAACTATGCAAATGATCTTTAATGTTTTTGTCTTGTGCTTGTAAACATTGATTTTTCCATCTGTACTATCTGGAAATAATAACATATTTTTATTATAAATATTAATTGTGGTAAATCATCACTCCAGGTTGTCTGCACACCCAGGTGTCTTGTTCATTTGAGGACGGACCATGTGGTTGGCACAGCGTCAGTGATGACCCACAACAAGGATGGGGGATCTGGCACATGAAAAAACTGGCCGTTAAACTCCCTCATGATAGTAGTAGATTCTCGGGACCGGGCGATGACCACACCCTTCAAAGTAACTATTATTCGTACACTAAACTTTAAATTGCTGTTTTTCAAGTTTTGATTGCCTCTTACATTGCTTTTCATTAACGTGGACTGCTGGACTGGCAACCTCTTTTTTGTGGTGGCATTGTTGCAATATACTGTCATCCAAATGTATCAAAATATTGAAAACATCATTTTAAGTTGTGTATTTCACTTTTAACCAGATCTACATGGGAGTTATCTCTATTACACGTACACAACATCCACGCCTATGAGGTGCTTGGATAGCCAAACAGAAATGCAACTAGAAAGTAGTTTGCTGAACCTAACAACAGCGGCTAATCTTAGCTTCTGGTATGTGTTAAGAGGACGAGCGGTGGGCCACCTGCACCTTATTGGTAAGAACGGACTTAAACTTTGGGAGTCCCCCGTTAACCACAGTGGTTCCCAGGAATGGACACAAGCCACCATCCAGCTAGAGTCTGGTGTTTATCGAGTAAGCCATATAATTTCTCGATTAATACATGTGTATATTTACATTGCAGGCCTGATTGAAATCCAGATATATTTTTAATTGGCCTGGGCCAAATTAAACTCCATGCAACTCAATTTAGCCTAGGCAGATTTTAAATCCACCCAAGCCAAATGAAAATTTTAATTCTGCCTGGGCCAAACTAAAATCTGATAAGATTGAAATTTCAATATATTGTGTTTTTACTATTTTTATGATGATGTGCACTTCATATTTCTTCTACTATATTGGAATGCCAAGCATACCTAGTAAGATATTAATCCTAGTCAGAATTTAATTTGACCTCAATACAATTGAAATTTCAATTTGGACTAAATGATTAAAAATCTACCTAGGTCATATTATAATTTCATTCTTGCATAGGCCAAATTCTGTCTTGATCTCAATCTGGCCTGCAATATATATATATATATATATATATATATATATATATATATATATATATATTGGGAATTTTGACATATCTGTTGGATAAAGAGTTTAAACATAGAATATGAATTCTGGCAGTGCATGGTTTTGCAATGAACAACTTAGGCTATCAAAGTGCCTTCATATTTAAATTGAAAATTAATCCTTTTTGTATCAGGTTTTGTTTTTTTTACAAAAAAATCTTTTTCATTGTATCTGTTTATATTTCTAGTTAACATTCAAAGCAAGCTGCAAATATACATTCCATAATGATATTGCGATCGATGACATAGTACTAGGAGGAGAACCTTTGGACACAATGACAACAACCTAATCAGATAGAACAACAGCCCTGCCTCGAGAGGAGCTGAAGTGAGCAACACACACAAAAAAAACTACCAAAACATAAATGCTATCTGTAGAAACAACTACAGTGGCTGAACAGCACAAAAAAAAAAAAAAAAAAAAAAATTTTGAGTGGGGAAAGCAGTATAAAGACAGTATGAAAGCTGTATGCGTGAGAAACTATATCCACTTCTTGTGGAACTGAGACAAATACCAACATGACTAGTAGGGATGTGGAACTTTTGGTTCAATCTAGGATCCAAGATCTTAGGTCCAAGATAACCTCTTTAATGTCAGAATATGTCAACTAGAGGAGTGGAGTTGATGACTGCGGACACTTATTACTTTTTCAATTGATGTAGATGTTTAGTTTTTGAATTTTTCCATACTTTATTATTTGCACATTTATTATCCTCTTGTATAAACTTCTTTTAATGATAGTAAAATTACAAAGGCAAAATGGTTTTTGATTGTAGCTACAAGTATCCAATTAAACCCATGTGATCGCTTTTTGATTAAATTAAAAAAGATTCTATATACATCATATTGAAATTGTGTAAATTTGGATTAATTGAATCCTAAGCTTTTTATAGGAAACACGACCGTCAGCACAGCAGTGTACCATGGGAAAAGATGCCAATACCAGCTACATAAAGTTAAGCATGGATGTTTTGGATGAACAGGAAATTGCTTAATGTACACGTATTAAATGTACAATTAAAGTTGATGGAAGAGCATTGTTGATTGCATCTTTATTAAAGATCTTTGGTACCTTCCCTTGTGTAAAACATGCATGGTGCATAAGACTTATGTAAATATTTGATTGATTGATTAATTTCAGTTTAATTCATTGTTTTCAATGGTATCTTAATTCTTTCTTCCTTTGTGGTAATTCTTTATTGTCTGAGTTCACGAAAGACTATAATAGGTGTCTTAAATTGTATTTGGAAGTCCTTTGTCATTTTAAGCATAACAAACGGACTACTAAATTTAGCATTTTTTTCGAGCTTGGAAGACAACGCTTTATTATTGTCAAATTTACAACAACAACAAAAAAAACTGATAATTTCAAAGCTTGGGCTTGAAATCCTTTTTGTTGGTAATCTGATGATAAAGATGTTATTGTAAACTCTTTTCATGTAAACCAGATTTTTGTATTCATGAAGATGATAAGGTTATTCATTCAGAGCGCTTTAAGCTATTTGCTATCGGATTTTGAGTCACTTCTGACGATTGGCACCCAGGAGCCACAAGAACGTCGCTTCTGGATATTAAACCTGTAAGTCATGCTTAGTTTATAACTTCTGCAGTTGATATTGATGACTGATCTTTACGCCATGAAATCTCTGGCGTTACTTTACATAATTAGCGTTTCTTGCCAGGACTTTAAAAAACATGATTTTACATAAATAGCCATCTTCAAATGTAACCGGGAGTGAGGAATAGATTCTGAAAATGACTTTTTATTCTTTGTAACTTTATTTTTATAAAGACCGTGTCCCAATATTCGCACGGCCGAATGTGAAACCTCGCGCCTTACTTTACACTTGAGTTGAGACAATTTTCAAAATTAAACGATGTGGAATAAGGACAAATTGAAAAAATGAACAAAATTAGAATTGAAACATTTTTCAGCGGCATAAGAACATTTAAACTAAATTGAACTTAAATAATGCAAATTATAAGCTCACAGTAATGTTTTTAAACTGAATGGCGACCCTCAAACAGATCAAAAGTGCTCAGTGCCGCGGCGTGGGCGTCAAAGTCGCCCCATTGTGAGCAGTCCACGTGTCTGGTGTAGGGACAGTCTTTGTAGTTGATGACCAACTGTTGGTGAGCCTGACGTATTCTGTTAATGAGTGTTCCGCTATGTGGCCCATTTTATTCGGATCCTGTCGCATTCCCAGGCACCTGGCCATTTTTAGCCGCTCATAACTTGCTTTGTGTGCCGCAACAACAATCAGGATTAGCCCACATGTAGTTTAGGCGGTAAATCAATTTGGGCTTCCAGTGTATCTCTGTACCACAGACTGCGGTCCTTCATCAAGTTAAACAACCGCCTACAAACACAGCGGACGGACAAAAAGGAGGAATCCATGGCAACGAAACGTAATATACGGAGTATGACGTCATTGGCCAGTTGAATGAGGGTGATTGTATCTTTGCCGTGATCCTGATCATCTAGAATAGAAAAATGAATGGCAAGATGTTTGTAAATTAACAAAATAATAAAAAGCGCAAATTGATCAAAATAAAAAGCGTTTTAAATAGCATGAAGCAGATGCAAAGGGATGAATTGGTGTCGCTCTGTTTCCTGTGTTAGCGTTAGTTCACTAGTTCAGTCCAAATACGTGCAGCGCGTTTGCGTGGTCATTTTTCAATTTCATGCAAAAGATACATGTAGTTTGCTATCGCCGCACGCCAATCAAATTTAGATGTTTACAACACACATCTATCAAGTCCATTTAATATTAAATGTAATTTAGATATTTTTTAACAAAAATATTGTCCCCTTTGTATTTGATTCATTTCCCGTCCATGTTCTGGGCGCATGTGTGGGATTAAAAATTCTATGCGCTACAAAGATTGTGAAAAGGCAATCCCTTTACGGGAAAGTATGCACCCACAGCCGTAAAAAGAGGTTGAAGCCTAACGAGAAAAATTTACTCTTTGACTATAGAGTGCGCTAGTAGTCTGTTACAAAATTATTGTATCGCTCACACTTTAATTTTATTTACTATTTAAGAAGCCCCTGATGTCAGAGGGAAGGAAAAATTATGAAAAAATTATTAGGTTGAGGGAAGATCCTGACCACTGCCCTGGGGCCCATGTTATCAGTGAAATAGTACCTTGTGTATCTCAGTCTAGCTACCTATGGCTTACACTATGATATTTAAACCTCTTCAATAAATTCTTAATCGGGACAGAATTCGATAAAAGTCGACAAATTGTAAATTGACACAGGGGGTAAGACGTTTATGGCAACTTGCCAACATTCTGCTGTAAACGGGTCAAGTAAATCCTCCCAATTTCCCTAACCCACAGGTTCACATGAGCAAACAGAAAATTGTTCATCTTAAAAAACCGATAAGAAATATGCCAATAATTTTTTTCTTTTTAAATTTTCTAGTTTACAGAATTTACTCCGATGGATGGCTCACCTCTGAAAAAAAGCAAGATTGATGCAACTTTAAGAAACGGTTGCGGTACTATCACGTGTTGAAATAAGGGGGAATCACAATTAAATTGAAGTTACCAATGACGTTTATTGGGGGAAACAGCCTTTGAAATTAATGAAAACATCATGTAAAAGAATAGAAAATGACCTGCAATTGTAAATCATTTTCTTTTCCGTCGACCTGCGCTCTGTCAATGACGGGAATTCTTAGATCCACTGTTTGAGCAGACGCGTTTTTGGTTTGATTAGCAACAGGTGGGGTCTCCATTGTGGTAGCAAGAGGTGCGTCCGTCTGAGCCACTTCATCTCTATGCCCGACGACCGTGCTGTTTGCGATTACAGTGTACCGCTGCCGACGGCCTCGACCTAACAGTCTGCCGAGCCCGCGCCATGGCTGGAAAAGAAATGTCATTTGTTCAATATTTTATTTTTTTGCTATGTACCTGATTTTATCATAAATATTCATTTATTAATTTTTGTTGGTAAATTATGTTTGACTTTCCGTCAAGACAAGCAATATTCACAAGCTCTGAGAAAAAAATAAAAAGGCATCTTTATCTTTAATCTGCAATATGTAGGGAGTTTTAGAAAATTACGTATTATTTCACTTTCAAGTGTTTTGAAAAATGACTTTGATGAGATTATCATGATGATAATACCAAGGAAAATACTTTAAAAAAGAAGAAACCTATCATACCATTTCGTCGACCGCGGTTGTGTTGAGTGGTAGTTGCGTCACAGAAGAAACACGCCATGTGAGAGAAGAGGTTTAAGCGCGTCATTACTTTGGGGCGTCTCTCTTTTGCAGTTTCCACGAGGGCTGTCAAACACACACACACACACACACACACACGTTCAAAATTTTAGACCAATATCAAAATCTACTTTTTGGTAGTGTGTATTCTTTAATTGAGTTAAACATTTCGCTGTCTACAACTGTTGGTAATGAAAGGAAAATTTGCAGTATTATACAGCCTGTGTAGTGCAGGAAACAAATGATCTTCGAAAAAATGATTTACTAAATTGTTTACACCGTTCTCGATCGCCCGATTGTAGGAGACAAACTATTACCTTAAAATCCTCAACGATAATTCAACTTTGTTTTCGTGCGTATTCGTACTAAATTTACACTTCCTTTTTAATACACTAATATCAACGCACCAAAACTCATTTTCTTCATCGTTTTTCATCTCCCACCATTCTGACCCTCTATGTGTAATCTAGAAATTCCATATTAATAGGAAAAATAATACAATTTAAATAAATCATTCAACTTGCTTTATTCTGACTCAAAATGTATGAAAAATTATCGAATTATTGCCCTTATTAAACATTTAGATTTTCTTACTTTTCATGTGTCGGTTGACACTGTTTTCTTTAAAATTTGACAACTTGTTTAAGTATTTTAAGAGGAAGGGAAGGTGTGAAAACTACCCTCTACCAGGGCGACTGGTCAATCTTCAGCCCAAAATGACCATCTATCTAGCTAGAGACATATCTGTGAATATCTGTAAAAATCTATCAGTCGCCCTGGTAGAGGATATGTGAAAACCAAGTGTCTGCGCTGTCCTATATGTAAAATAAAAGAACGTTTAAAGAATTCAATGCCCCCCACCTCCTCTTATCTCGTTTCGAACTTGACTTATCTGATAAATCGTGAAGCCTCCTTTTTTAACATTGCCCAAGAACACCGCAAACAAAGCCAAGTCATATATGGACCAGAAACAAGTTACGAGATAACTCTTGAGGTTTTCTATTCTTCGGAATAAACTTGCGTCTTCCTTTAAAATCAAATTCATATTTTGGTTTCTCTTATTGGGGAGTAAAAACCAAGCTCACGGGGAAGGATCAACAGTCAATTCCAAAAATAACTTAATCAACATTGACATTGTTTTCATACATGTAAGTTAGGCTCTCTTTTGTATCTCTTCTTTTTATTAAGAATAAC